TAGCATAACTCTTATGTTAATAACTTCTAAATAACAAAAAGTATTCTATATAGACTAATTCTTTAGTTTTCTTGCATTAAATACTATACAAATAGTAGGAAAACAAAGGAAATTCAATCAACAACTTTATTTATACCAGACGCTGTCACGCTAACCACGTAAGGGCCTTTGCTGTCCAGATATCAGAGTATCAGACAAAGTCACGAAAAGTTTGTGATCCAAGTCTGACCAAGATGATTGATTAATATCAAATTCCACATTGTCTCAGGTAAATAATGCAAATACACAGATACATCAGGCCTCATACTTTTTTATAAATAGCCTATTCCAAACTACAAGGCAGGTTAGGCAGCTGCAATTGCATTCACTTCTAGATTTGGTTAACTTCCAGGAGCCTGCAACAGTAAAGAAATTCTAATGCAGAAGGAAAGTTGAAAAGCCCAGAAAATGGATCCATAGAACATTAAGCTTTTCCCCTTGATCTGAGTCACCACTAGGAGCAACTCATCAACAAGATCAATCCCTACACCATGCAAATACTTGGCGCATCGAGAGACTGGAGCAGTTTGAGACCTGCAACATAGGCAAACGTTCACTCACTCACACACAAAATGGGGAATCATTGACAGCAAAAAAGCCAAAGCATTAGATAAGAATCAACAGGTGCTAAAAAGAAGCTGTAAAAGGTCGCTTTTATTTTGTATATTTAATGTACCAACATTCCCCATCAAATCAGCTATCTATTCCATTTCCAGAGGTCAAGTTTAGTGAGTCCCAAGCCCCCTTGCTCGTGGGCGAGAAATTATAATCCAAAGGTCAAGTTTATTCAGTCCCAGGCTCCATTGCTCACTGGTTAACAGATGTCAGACCAAGTTTAGCTCCATAGTACTTTCTTTCCTCACCAGGCCCAAAAAGTTGCTGATAAACTATCTAATTTCTTAAATACTTACTTTGGAACTACAAACACAATAGTTCAATACACATGAATATTTAGAACACATTTAACGAGCTGAAGTCTGTCCACATGATCAGTGTCTTGACAGACCAACTCTATTATCTTATTTTGCTATCATAACCTTCCGATCAGCAAAAGACAGCCTGAAGAGGTTATTGAAAGTCCTAGATAAGTCACAAGAAAATGTCCAAGAGGCATACAAACACCATCACACAGCTGCATACTTCTCCCGAAAACACTGCAAATTAGGACACAGATCAGACAATCCCCATATTCTGTTGAAGTACCCTTAACAACTTCAAAAGCTTTATCAGAGTCAGCACATAGAATAAGGAAATAGTACAAACATGCAGTATGTGACAATTTCACATCAGCATGCTTAGGATGGTAATCAAATTACAGATTATTAATATTCCATTCAAACTATTGAACTGAAGATTTGTAGTTATTCTAAAACATCTCAGAGGCTTTATTGAGACACATCAGAGTTCCCTAAATCATTTACTGCACTTTATATTGCACCTTCCTTTTCTTCTTAATCAACTATCAAATCTCATTTTCTACTTCAACGTGATGCTGGACAGAGGTCTGTCATCATCCCAAATGCAGCACATGGACACTATGCAATCTTGAGAGGAAGTAAATCCATGATATCGCTAATTTACATTGCAAGGTTTAAATGTTTGCTCGCTTATACTACTATAATTACTCAAATAAGTTGTGCATAAGATATTTAATAAGAAAGGTGAAACACTTGATGAATGATGACTTCTGTTGAAGGTGAAATGCTTGCAAGGTGTAACTGTTTGCTCACTCATTGTTTTTTGTCTCTAGTTTTTCTCCCTCCCTTCTTGTCAGATGTCATTGCAGGTAGACTTGTACAACTGTACAAGAAATTTTCTTTCTGGCTGAACCTGGATTTTGACATGTCAGATGGCTGGCCTATTATGTATGTCATGTCTATCAACAAACCAAATCCAATCCTGCATCTTGTGACAGGAGATGCTCAATAGTTTTATAACCAGTTGCAAATTCACAATTCTCTTACCAGAGTTTACTTACCAAGTACTCCAACTGATTTAATGCATAGAATTGAAAAAGATGCCTGCATATGGTTCTATAAGATTATTGGTCCTCTAGTAATTTCCATTTTAATTTTCACAAAGTTGTGGCACCCAGTAAAAATAAAATAAACAGCATTGTAATGTAGTGAAGACAAAACTGCATTTCTTATAGACACTCGAGCAAATAATTACTGCCAAAATCTCTTTGATCTTAGTAGCCAAAGAAATTCACAGGCTTGGCAGCAGTCTGAAGAATATAGCTCAGGTTTCTGGGGGCTGATTCAAGATAATTGTTGAAGATGACTGACTCGCTTCATTGGGAATTTGGCCATTGACCCCTTTATGCAACCAAACAAAGATCCAATTGCTGTTTCTTCAATTAAGACTTTTAGTTCAGTTTCCTAATTATTCCAATCAAGAGGAGAGAATGTCAATCGGTTGGCTATCATGAGAGGAATGGAAACTGGAAAAGGTGTAGAATATGTTGTAAATGATACTACTGTAGTTTGGGGCGAGTGTAAGAAAACAATGGAAATGCCCATCATAAGCTCGAAGGCACCATTGGAGAGCTTATCTCATGATATTGCATCTATAAAATGTAAAGACATGGATAGCAGGCAGCATTATGTTGATTTCATGGACAAGAAAAACAATCCTTAAATACATAAGACAATAATCCAATTTTCCCACAACAGAGGAAAAAATATTTCAATTGCAATCGAGGCTGCTAAAGAAGGAAACTCGAGAGGGTCGCCTTTGGAAGCGTTCGCCGGCAAGGCCATGAGCATCAAATGATTCATTAGTTCTTTGTTTCACTCTACTTCATCCTGTTTTTACTTTCAACCTGCACTCAAAATTGCTTGGATCAAAGAGGCATGCTGAAACCTCACAAATATCCTCTTTTCACCTTACAAATTTAAAGCAGGAGGAGTTATCCAAGCAGCACTTTCTCTTTCTCCTACTCCTGGGACCATGCAGGTTAGATTAACTTTGTCTTGCCAAAATAAGAGTAACAGTAATTTCATATGGTTTTTCCTCAGATTATGTCTTTCCACTATTCATCAGTTTTGAGGGCCGTCTACTTAAAGATTGAAACAAGTACCTTGCTCTGACAGGAGAAGTTAGGATGAGAAATTTTAATTGAGACTAAAAACACGAGATTTCAGCACTAACAAGAAAATTTCACACTTCTGGAAATAATATGCTCAAAATATTAACAACAAAAAATCTTACAAGGATTGTAGGGAAAATAAAAAGAGACACACGTATTACCAACACTAGAACACTCAATCATGGTCCGAAACAACATAAGCAATTGATTCTTCGAATTTGAGTAATATAACTCACTTTAAAAAGGGAAGATGAGGGAATATAGGAGAAATCAGGACCAATTAACAATGAATAGTAAACAAAACAGTAGCAGCAAAACTCATTCAAGTATTCGCTACAATTGCTTTCTCATGTGGCGTTTTGTCCCATTTGATATCTGGAGCATATGTACCTTGATCAGTCTTGTTGCATTTGATTTCTCCAAGTACACCACTTCAGGAAACTTGCGTTTTAATTCTGACTTGTCAAGTACACCACTTCAGATACTTCAAAAGTACAATTTTAACTTTCCAGGTTTGTTTACCTATGTTCTCTAAGCTTTTGAGTTTACCTCCCCTAATGTATAATTTTTTCAAATCTTGTAATACACCAGGCTCTAGCCAATCAGGCATTTGTTCCAAAGGGATGCACCGAAGGTCCAATTTCCTAAGAGTCAGTGGGGCTGAGAAGGTCTCTAAAGAAGCTTCTGTATGTGCTCCACATGATATTACCAGAATTTCAAGGGCTTTAAAGTCCTTCAACTTTGAAAACTCCCCTTTTCCTACAGCTTCATTCCCAATTCGTATGCTCAATTTCCTTAACCTTTCTAACTGAGCAAGTTGACTTAGCTTGCACGGATTTCTTCTAACACTTCCTATCACAAAACCCTTTAGTACTTGGAGAGCAGAGAGCTTATGAATACCCTTTGGCATGCTTTTGAGCAGGTAACATTCTGATAAATCCAAATGGGCAAGGTTCCTCAGTGCTGATATATCAGAAGGCAGTTTCTCCAGATTGTGACATGCACGTAAATCAAGGATCTCAAGGCTTATTAGGTTAAACACTGAAGGAGGTAGGTTATAAAAAGAGATTCACATATTACCGACTCTAGAACACTCGATCATGGTCGGAAACAACATAAGCAATCGATTCTTAGAAATTGAGTAATATAACTTGCTTTAAAAACAGGAGCTGGAGGAAATAGGAGAAATCAGGAGCAATTAAAAATGAATAGTAAACAAAAAAGTAGCAGCAAAACTCACTCAAGTAGTTGCTACAATTGCTTCTCATGCTGCCTTTTGTTCCGTGTGATATCTAGATCATATTCATCTCGATCAATCTCCTTGTTGCATTTGACCTCCAAGTACTCCACCTCAGGAAACATTGTTTGTAATTCTTGCTCGTTAATTTTCAAGTTCTTCAGATACTTCAAACGTAAAATTTTTACTTTCCAGGTTTGTTCACCTTGGTTCTTTAAGCTTTTGAGTTCACCTCCCGTGATGTATAATTTTTCCAAATATTGTAATACACCAGGCTTTAGCCAATTGGGCATATCTTGGAAAGGGATGCACCAGAGGTCCAATTTCTTAAGTTTTGGTGGGACTGAGATGGTCTTTAGAGCATCTTTTGTAACTTCTGTAACTGCTCCACATGATATTACCAGAATTTCCAGGGCTTCAAAGTTCTCCAAGTTTGAAAACTCCCCTTCTCCTACAGCTTCGTTCCCAATTCGTATACTCAATTTCCTTAACCTTTTTAACTGAGCAAGTTGACTTAGCTTGCACGGATTTCTTCCAACACTTCCTATCACAAAACCCTTTAGTACTTGGAGAGCAGAGAGCTTATGAATACCATCTGGCATCCTTTCGAGCAGGTAACACTCTGACACGTCCAAGTGAGTAAGATTTGTCAGTGCTGATATATCAGAAGGCAGTTTCTCTAGACTGTGACATGCACGTAAATCCAGAATCTCAAGGCTTATTAGTTTAAGCACAGAACGAGGTAGGTTAGTCAATCTAGAAATGCCTCTGAGGCTTAGATATCTTAGGGATGTCTGACTTCCCAAACCATTCAAGAGACTTCATATTCCACTTCAATATGATGTTCGACAGAGTTTTGCCACCGGCCCAACTGAAGAACCTCAACCCTATTCAACCTCGAGAGCCAGTCAAGTTCAAATCTAAGATATTGACAATTCACATTGAAAACCGTAAGAATACCATCAGGCATCTCACTGGCTGAAGCATCAAGACCCGCAAATAAGAATGCATGACGATGATCATTGCTAGGCATCCCTGTGGGATTAAATTCAAAAAAGTGAAGTCCTTTTGCAACCGAGATCAGCATTCTTCGAATCCAAGGGTGCACGATAAAACTGTTTATATTGGGAGAATGATTCTCAACTATGGGGATTATGAAGCTTTCATTTATCAATTGTCCAAATACATCTTCTCCAACCTCCTCTGCAGTCTTTTCTGAGGTTTCAGCGACCATACCCTCTCCTATCCACCAGTAAATAAGGGGTCTCTTCTTCATGATGCTATTCTCTGGGAAAATTGAAAGGCACAAGGAGCATACTTTCAATTGATTGCTCTCCAGACAGTCAAAACTTTTCCGAAAATCTGATATTGCTTTGCTAACATAAATTTTTTCCTCCACGCCAAGCCTCGACCACTCTTCAGACATTGTCTGATCCTTCCCAACAGCCTGATCTTCAGACGTCTGATCCTTCCCAGTAAAAGGCATCGAATGTGTTATTTCTGTCACCTGGCTTTCTTTTGCCGGAAAGAGCTGTTTTACAGATGCAACACTCTTTCTGATGAGCTTCAATCCATTAAGAATGTCATCAGCGTTGCCATGCTTCAATCTATCAAACCAAACATCATTATCGATGTCTTGCACCAAATTTCTGAACCGTTTTATGAGTTTCCCTTCCCAATCTTTCATCTTGTCAAGTTCAGTCTCAATTTCTTTGAATCCCGAAACTATTTTCTCATCTTTCTTATGGATGGGTTGTAATGCATCCCAAGCTTTTCCCAGACAAGCCAGTAGTGTTCGGACAATTTCCTCAGGTTTTCCTTGAGCTGGCATTCTTAACTACAGAAACAATACTTCCTATTAGCTAAGAAAACATTAGCAATCAAATCTTCAAAGATAAAACTTTTATATACTTAAAACAAACCAAGACAATATATTATACTACTGATTAATGGAATCCCAAATTGCAAATCAAGATTTACTTCAAGGTTAAAGAACAGTTGCGCACAAAACTTTACCATTTAAAAAAAAAGTCAGCTTTTTTACCCCCTATACTTATCGTCACAATTAATAAATGTCTGAGCAATCAATGAATCAAGAAGAAATTTAAACTGGTTGGGAGAATATTAAAGTACCTGGGAGCCTGCAGTTTGTGAACTTTTTAGAGGGCTTCTTCTTCCTCCTCCTCAGTTGGGGATCTTCAAATGTGATGTCAATAGGCAGACTAGATGGGGAGTAAAGAATATGTACATTTGCGTATAGCAATTAGTCCCTTGCGTAATTACAAGTTATTTGAAATCTTAACATGAGTACCTGTACAACATAATCCACCTGCAAACGAATCGAGCCGCTCGCGAGCGGCTCGAGTCAAGCTCGAGTCGAGCTCGAGATTAATCGAGCTCGAGTCGAGCTCGAGCCAGCTCGAGTCAAACTCGAGCTCGAACTCGAGCTCAGAATATTAAGCTCGTTAGCTCGCGAGCCGGCTCGCGAGCTTGAGTATATATATTTATATATATTTTTTATTTTTATTTAATAATAAAATTACGTATATTATATATAAATATATTTTAATTTTTTATTTTCATAGTGAAATTACCTATATATCCTTAATATTTTATTATTTATTCAGAAAAAAATATTATTTTTTTTATTTTTTTAAAAATAAAATAATTTTTTTTTATTTTTTTCGAGCTCGAGCTCGAGCTCGGCTCGAGCTCGAAAATTGCCAGCTCGTCGAGCTCGAGCTCGAAAATTGCCAGCTCGTCGAGCTCGAGCTCGAGCTCGAGCTTGGTAAAATTTAATCGAGGCTCGGCTCGATTAGCTCAAAACTCGACTCGACTTGGCTCGTTTGCAGCCCTATCCACATATGACCCTTTACGTTACAGAGAGCTATTACAAGTAACTTTTGGGTATTGCTTCATAACTTTATTATTATTGACCCTCATAATTATATACACCTCAAAACAACTCATTCGACTTTTTTTCCAATATATTATTGTTGAAACATAAACAAAAATTGTAATTAATTTTACAAATTGATTGTAGCTCAAAAATTTTATTATTATTACCTTTAGGTACACTAACATTGAGATCAATACTACCACAAATTTAGAGTGCGCCACACAACAATTGCCGATTTGAAATTTTTGAATTCATTATTAGTCAAACATAAACAAAAATTATAATTAATCAAGTTTACAAATTGACTGTAAGCTCGACAAGATATCTAATTGATATAAAATTTACACATAAAAAGATTTTAAGATTTCACTTGAACTTCAATTGATGACACTAGTTAAATCTTTTTTTTTTCTTTTTAAAGTTTGCTATTGTTCAAAACCACATCTTCTTCAAACATTTGATTCATATTCTCTTACACAAAATACAACCAAAGAAAAGCATATCTTACAGAAAATTAATTTCTTTTAGGTTCTCTTGCACCGGATCAAGGACCTCTACAATTGTCAATGGCAATTATATTTGCAAACATTATTATAACTAATATAAATATTAGATTACTAACTTGTTGAAAGTGGTGCCGAAAAATATGTTAGTATCTATACTTGTTGTTTTAACTCCTGTACACTGCAGTTACCAGCGACAAATTGTGCATGTCCATCACAAGATAACTGCGAGAAAAAGATTTTTCTCCTTTTGGTATAGGTTAATAAACTGATAAAGGTAATGGCACAAATAAATTCCAAAGAAATTTTTTGTGGGATTCCACTGATCAGAAGAGGAAATTCCATGTAGAAGGGTGGGAGACTGTGACTAGTGCTAAAGACCAAGGAAGGTTGGGTATAAGATATACTGATAACATGAATAAAGCAGCCATAGCTGGTTTATGCTTGAGAGTCAAATGAACCAATCTCAACATTGATTAAAAATACTGAAAATCAAAAACTCCAATAAAGCTGGTTCTATCCAGAGAAAGGAGATGGTTGGGTCTATTAATTAAAAAAAAGCCTAAAATTGGGGTGGATTCGCTTAACAAAGATACAGGCTGGATTACTATTTACAAGGAATGTTAATGTGGAGGAGAATTTGTCTAGATAACTAGACTAGTCTCGTAGACCCCTGAGACGCAAAAGACAAGGGCCACTTAGATCTAGAGAAGAAGATTTACTGGTCAATCATCCTTTTGGCTAGATGGGTTCTTGGAATTTAGAGAGGTTATCTTTTGTCTTGCTTCCCCGATTGTCCAAATGATTCAAGTAATTCCCGAACAACATCAATCTAATTCTCAAGATTTTCATAGGTGGAAGGGCCATTATGATGGAACCTTTTATTCAAATCTTACTTCTCCATGATGCAATTACCCCTTGGGGGTAGGTCAGATGAGTTAGCTACTAGGGAGAAACTCAAAACTCTTATTGGGTGTAAATTGAGGGATCAAATCCCTCAACTTGTATTATTATTCAGACTTTTTTGCAAATTTCACCAATAGGTGCATAGCCATTTGTTTGGTCCAGTGGCAATTCAATCTCCTCTACGTTCTACATTGACTCTTTTGGATACACCTCTTTCCCTAAGTATAAAGTAGGTGTAGAATAAAAATTATCATGTCGACAAAAAAATGATGTAATTAACCCATATTATGTTTGACAATCATCCATTTGTTAATCCCTCTTAGATGTGGAAGCTGCAAGCAAATAAAAGAGTTAGGAAATTCCTACAGCTTGCTTCTAAACAAACTCTTCATAGAAGAAATATCAGTCAAGAAAGCACATGTCACGTCTGCACAGGGACAACATATTTTATGTTTCTACCCCTTTGTCACCTGTATCTGGCAATAGTTGGCCAGTCCCAATTGCCCTTCTTTTGAAGAGGATTTATTTTGATAAGTGTTTATTTTGTTATTATTTTTGAGATGTTTCATGTTGCTTTTGAGTCAAATTGTGAAATGCTATGGTCTAAAGTGCTTATTTTGCCTTGAATTTACGCATTGAGTTGATAGTAGTAAGTATTTGTGATTGTGCCATTTTAGTTGCAAATTCTTTACGTATTTGTAGGGTTGAATGATCAAGCCTTAATTTGGAGCTAGATGAGAGAATATTAAAGAGTGGAAAGAGGCTTGAAGCACGTTTGAAGTCACAAATGTTATTGGAGGAAGATGCCCGACACATGGAAAAAATGATGAAGTATTGCACTTGAATAACCAACTTGAAGATGAATGGAATGGCAATGAGCTGCCTCTTGATTAGAGTCACAGGTCTGATTTCGTGGAGTGCGTATGAATTTCTTTCTTGGTACTAACTCTGAGTATTGCATGAAAATTTTGTTTGGTCAAGAACTAGGTACTAAACCACTGAGCTTTCACCAAAGAGAGACTAGATTGGGGGTTCGAATCTCACCTGTAGTGACAAAAATTTAAAAAGGTGTCAAAACATCCTTTTAATCTAATTAGATTCTTATTTCTACTATTCTCTTATACACAACCTCTTTAGACTCCCCTTCCTGCTGTTAAAAAAAAAAAAAAAAAGAACTAGGTACCAAGCTTGCAAGTTTGTTTGATATCACTCGTAAGTAATTGCAGGTGTCATCGTCATGGGATTATTTTTTGCACAAATTTTGTGACGCAGGATTGCAGAAGGCAAAAGGACTTAAAATAGGCGTTTCTTGGTAAACTAATCTACATGACTTCAACTGTTGGAAAAATGGCTATATTCATTGTAGAGTGAATGAGAAAATTGTTCTCATAATGGCACTCTTGAAAGAATTCAAGGATAATTATCTATCATAGGATTCATGTATATTAATTATTGATACATGATTTTGGATAGGATTCATGTACTTAATACATGATTTTGGAGTTATCTTATTGGGATACATGTATGTACATGAATGTGGTACTTTGATAAACGTGAAGATAATTATCTGGAATTTAACACTTGTTGCCAATTTCTAACAGTCACCCTTGGCCAGTATCTATAAATATTTCTCTTTTGTTTAAAAAACGAGAGCTCTCTCAAGTTTTCCTTCTTGCATCTTCATCTTTTATAGTGTTCCATATTGTTCTAGTTCGAGTTCGCTGTGGTGAAGAAAGTTTGGTGCTGACATATTCACCTTTAATCCGTTGTATCCTGGGAGACAGACGCCTACTTAACCTCAAGCACTCTACCTGGAGGGGGCGAATCTGTTTTAAGGAAATTGTGCTCACAAGCCTCGGATTGTTATTATTGGTTTTTCGATCATTTCTTTCTTTCTGAGTTGTATTTATTCTTCTCTATAGTGTTTCACCCTATTTCTTTTTATTATTACTAACAGTCTTAAAACAGATTCTGTTCTCAATGGCTAACATTCCAGGAAGAGAAACCAACAAATCTACTTTTGATGCCTCTGCCTCTGGCACAATTGTGAAACAACCTGAAGGAAAGATTACTCCTATGGTTTCTACCAACCATAGTGAGAAACCTGAGAAGTTCCATGGCTCGAATTTCAAGACATGGCAACAAAAGATGTTGTTCTATTTGACAACATTGAATCTCTCGAGATTCTTAAGTGAGGATGCTCCAAAGCTGCCTGAAGGCTTAACTGATGCACAAGCTGTCGGTGCTATTGATGCTTGGAAGCACTCCGATTCTATTGATGCTCCAAATTATGTCATGAACCTGACTGCTATGGTTTCTGAAGTAAATATGATAGGGTCAAATCCGAAAGAATGGTGGATTGACACTGGAGCTACAAGACATGTTTGCACAAACAAAGACTTGTTTACTACTTTCGAAAAAATATTCATGGGGAACTCTACCTCATCTGCTATTGAAGGTCAAGGGAAGGTGTTGCTAAAGATGACTCCTGGCAAAACATTGACTTTGAACGATATTCTGTATGTGCCAGAAATTTGCAAGAACCTTGTTTCTGGATCATTGCTGAACAAGCATGGCTTTCGCATGATTTTTGAATCGGATAAAGTTATATTATCCAAATTTGGGATGTATGTAGGGAAAGGATATACAACCGATGGGTTGTTCAAATTGAATGTAATGACTATTGTGAATAATAAGAATAAGTTTTCTGCTTATTTGCTTGAGTCTTCCAATTTATGGCATGGTAGACTAGGTCATGTTAATTATGATACTTTGCGTAGACTAATTAACTTGGATCATATTCCTTCCTTTCACATCAATTCAAACCATAAATGCGAGATTTGCGTAGAAGCAAAATTAACAAGGTCATCTTTTCAAACAATTGAAAGAAACACCGAACCCCTTGAATTGATTCACACAGATGTCTGTG